TGCATAAAATATTACAGAGTTTAATAGCTATTGAGTTTAATAGCAATAGATCTTTTATTCTAAGAAACTTCATGATACGAAAGATATATCTCTTTTTAAAATTATAAGTTTTTTTCTCTGCAACAAATAAAAACCTTAATTTTAGTTATTTCTAACAACTTTAATCAATTTCAAAAATTCTAATTACATATCTTTAATTATTTATATAATAATATAATATATATTTATTTTAAAATATTCTTCAAATATTTTTCACTTAAAAACAGGATATAAAACTCAAAGATATGAATATTTGATATTGTTTGCGGTGCATTATCGAATTTCCGATATCGATAAGGATATTCTTTTTGCTCTTTCACCTACATTTACCATGCAATTCGATATTGTACTAACGTACTTCCGAAAAGTTTCTACAATGTAGATTTAGCACGTTGCAAAAACTCGATATACATGGGTATTATTTATTTTTCATAAATTCAAAGCTCAAAATCGATTGTGAGCATATATATAAGTTATATATGTAACTTGGAATTTCCTTTCATCTTTATCAATAACTTCATTCATTTCAAATATAGAAAATGATAACTAACGAAAAACAAAAAAAAAAAAATTGAAAATCCAAACATTTGAAAAAATTTATGTTATATTGGTTTCCGTGTGATATTATTCATTTCTGAATACTTACAAGAGAGATTCTTCCTTCTGTCAGTGATAGAGATAACGCATGAGCACATATCCTCGACTATACATATAACGAATAAATATGTAAGTATCGAAATGTTTCATATAGAAACGTGAAGTTTATAGCAATGTTCTTCTGATGAGGAAAATGAGTGATTTCTTCGATAAAAAACATTATCGAAGTACAAAAGTCAGAAATAGATGATAGAAAAAAAAAATAATAAAAAAAATGCTGATGTATTTGATTACCATTTTATCTTATAAATACATTACATTTTTTTGTTTACTAATTACAGATCTATATATACTATAATTTCATATGCAAAACATTGTATAGTTTTTTGATTATAACACTTTTTAGAAAATATACTTTTTAAAAAAAAAAGTTTGGTTAAATTAATCGTTGTATAACATCGATTTTATAGATATGTGTACTATCATTAAAATTCAAGCTTCGAAGAATGATTGTTTCGATAATCAAAATAAAAATAAAGATTTTGTGTGAGTTTAATCATCTCAAATGGAATAATTTATATGAACTATTCAAAATAAGGATAGTTTGAAATCAAGTAATTATAAAGCGCTTTATAATTATACAAATAATTATCAAAACGAATTTGCGCATATCTTTCGTTTCTTTAATGATATCTCACAATATCTAAGCCATTCAAATTATACAATTAAACATCGAATGAAATTTGAATTAATAAAAAAATATCGATTATATGTTTTAGAAATGAACTGGAAACGATGATTTGACAAAAAAGGAAGTAATAGTCGATTTTTGAACAACTTTATGAAATGTAAAATATAGTGTGTATAGCACGGTCGAGGATCCGAAGGTTTTTGTTCTCTTTCGCTTGTTCAAGGCCTGGTTGCCTGGTGTCTACCCCACCACTGGATTCTTATACTTATATCACATCATTTCATTCTCCTCTCCCCTCTCCATAAGTTCTTTACGTAGAGAAACCTCACTTCTTCTTTCTTTATCTCTATTCTTCCGTTCTTTGTCTCTCTAACTTATTCTTTAACCGCCTTGGACTTTTGTGTCTAGCGATAGCCATTCAATTCTTCACCTCTTAAATTCTTGAATTTACAAGCGTGAAGATCGAAGATTTAGATGTTTGATGTCATTTGTAAAATAATCATTGACAATTTTTTCCGTAACATATATAGAAAAATGAAAAATATATTAACAAGGTGAAATACGTTATATAATTTCGTCTCCTATGTACACGACTTCTACTAATTGCACTTTTACATTAATATTATTTGAATTATTAATATATAACGTAATTAATTTATGTTTTACGTAGTTTAAAAAATTTGATGTATCTTAAGGCTATCGCTACCACATCTCTTCCTTTTCATCCTCGATTCTCCTTCCCACTGTCGCTCAACACGCTCCTTATCCCTACTCCACTCTTCGTGATGATCCGCGATCTTTACGGATACTCCTTCCCCTGCCGTTCAACCGTTTCGCAATGATGTCATCCACAACATTGGCGTAGACATTGAGAATTTTTAAATGATAGAAAATATATAAACATATGATAAAATTTATTACTTTAAAAGTAATAAGTTTCTTATAAATTTATTACTGTTAATAATAAATGCTTTTTAAAAATAATAATGAATAGTTAAAACATATGATAAAAATGGTAAAAATTTTCGTCATGTCATTAGTGTTGGAATGATATAGCAAGAACAAAATTTGTATTTCGTGGATTAAATCGAAACCTGAAGAAGACGAATCAAGTTATTAGCGTTACGTAGTTTTAGATTATTCATCTAAAAGAGTTTAATCCTTTTTCGAAGCTAATGAGATTATCAAGACGAAGATATAAATATCCGTTTTAACAAGAAATTTTTCACGCTTTTGTCGTAGATTATCTAAAAAATAAAAATGGTATTTGCAAATGAACTAAAATTACATGGCTTTAAATAAGCAAACAGTCTTGGAATATATATTTATTTTTAAATATTTTTGCAAAAACTTTTTTTTTCTACATTTGTAGACTTAAATCATATCATAATATAAAAATCTTATTTTTCATTTTACTATAAATTCTATAATTTATAAAAATTTTTTTATATACAATTACATATATACATACATACATCAATATTTCTATGGAATTGTTATATATACATACATAAATCCAAGTACTTTAAGTATAATGCTACACAAATTCATTATAAATAAATGAAATTGAAATGTTACACAAAAATATGTGGAAATACTAATAGATTTAAAAGACTTCAATTATTCAGAAAACAACTGGAAATGTCTTTTTTCGGATTCAGGTAGCACGCAATGAGCCATGGCGTGGTAGATTCGAGGCCAACGAGTAAAATTAGACAGCGCGTGAATGGAATCCGAGCCAATCGAGCAACCCCAAATGGAAATAGAAACGCTTCGGTTACTATACAAAAGATGGCCGCAATGCGGTGGCGTCCATAAAATGGCGGTTGTTGACCACCCGTCGCTTGTCTCTTTTCACAAATTTTAAAATATTTATGGCTTTACGTTTCTTTCCTTTCTAAGCCACTTCCCAATTCCTTTTACGATTCTTCGGAATCGACCAATGGAATTACTTCATTTTATTGTCATGTCCGAAATGAATCATACTTAAAATCCAAATACCAAAATGGTAGTAGTAAAACAAAGGAAGTTTTGAATTTTATTTGAATCTTTTATAAAAAATGAAAAATTATATATTAATCGAATGAAAATGTTTGTTTAAATTTTATATAAAAAATAGAAAACGAAATTTTATCGAAACGATATAAACATATATAATTCACTATAATTGTACAACAGTGGTAACAAGTGAAGCCAATGTCGGTGACATAGAAAGAAAGAACAAATCTGGTAATATTACAAGACCGGTACAAAGTATCGAGTCTACATCTCGATAGCGGTACGTACGTATAAAGTGGCACAAGGCAAGCCAGTCCCACTTCCCTTTCCTCCTTGTATGTATGTGCACACACAGTATATCTCATTCCATCATCGTCTCCTACCTGCCCATTCTTCCCAAGGAGTGGTTACTTTCCAAACTTTTCAATTGCATGTATTAGTCCATTTACCCTATGATTCTCCTCTGATTCACGATACACCATGGTTTATGTACTATTAATATACTTGGAACAAGATCTCATATATGAATGTCTTTTTTAACTAATTTAGTAGATATAATAGATTTTTTATGTTTTTTCATCGTTTACTATTTTTATCAGAACAAATATGGAAAATATTTGATTCATATATTCTTTAATATATAATAAAACAAACATTCAATCTATTTTTAAGAACTGATTATATCTGTTGCATTAATAATTATGATAGTATAAAAAACATACATTTAATAAATTTCCAAAAATGAAAATATTAATATTATATAAAAAAAAAAAAAGAAAAATGTATGCACTTGTGTTATTATATTGAAAACGACAACGGAACACTTTATAAGGAAAAGAAAAAATGTAAACCTATAATCACTGACGACAATCCGGTACGCGGTACGAAGCCGATAGTATTTGCTGAGTTACGAAAGTAAGCGGTTTTAGAAAGTACAGAAGGCTCGAGGTGAACGGCATTCTAACGGCGGAGATCTTGCACAGCAATTACGAAGTGGCTTTGCAACGACGATCGAGAACCGCGTTATTCAGCTGCTACGTAAGACTATTCGACGAAGCAGGTGCACCCATTCGATTTACGATTCATTCGAATTTTAAGAAAATTCAAATATTGCGCAAAATTTTAAATATTTTGACATGAGAATGAAAAGAATAAAAAACGAATGAAAATATTATGATAGATATTAAAAAAAAAAAAAAAAAAATTATA